CGCAGAACCAGGAAAATCTTTTACCTTTTTGCCCGCCAGACATAATCAACCAGCACCAATCATTCCAAATCTGTTTTCCCTTTCAAAGGGACTCCAGGAAGTTCCCAGAGGTGACAATTGCTTAGCTGATTGTTGGCCAAGGAAAGCCTAATCCCATCACCAAACTTGCCAAGGGGCCAGACCTGCAAAGGAAGTTCTATTGTACTTTGGGCGTGGGACTTCAGAGGCGTTTGCCTTTGGTCATCTTATATCTGAGTCTTGCCCTGACATGTCTGCTTATGCTAATCTTGTACCAAGGACTTGTCTGGACATGTTTGCCAAGGTTGAACTAGTGTAACCTCTGTCTACCCCTCCCCTTTGGTGACATGTCAGTGATGTAGCAATGATGCTGTACGAACTGTATTCTGGGACATGGTGGGAAAGTTCTAAAAGTCTTTGTCACCCCATCCTCAGAGTTCAAAATTCCTCTTTGAACCTATTGCACAATAAACTCTGGTCTACAGCCATTTGCTCCGGTTGGTGGCTGGACTCCTTCCTTTATTCCGCAGGGACCCGTGGGCTCTGCCCAACCAGCTGGGTGGCTGAGCAGCCTCACACCTAGACAGCGGCAAAAGTCTTGTTAGCACAAAGATGGAAGAATGAGGAAATCCCAACGAAAGAACAATGGGAAGAAAAACTGATGAGATGTGCGGAATTTTTCCAAGCTGACATATCAACTGCGTGACAGGGACAATTGTAATTTCAAGGAAGAATGGGAACTATTTACAAACTATTTAAAAAGACAACAAAAGGATTTGGACTCCTTGGCAGGTTTTGAATAAACATCCACAAATTCATTAGTAGAACATATGATAGATAATGTACAATGATATGTACAATTTTATAACATGCAGAGAATAATATGTACTGTATAAACAAATCAGAGAGGGGAGCTGAGGGAAGTCTCTGGAAGGGGGGAGAGGGAGGGAGTTATATTGATCTATAAACGTGATTAAAAGTGATTAATTTTGTTTATTTTTTTAAAAGCCACTGAGAGATCCAGCAGAACCAGGAAACAGCTTTTACCTCTATCCTAGCTCGCCAGAGATAATCAACCAGCACCACCAGGGCGGTCTCAGTCCGATGGCAGGGCCTGAAACCCAACTGGGACAAATGCAGTCTAAATGGTCCACATCCTGCAGATATGCCTGGATTTATTCTGCAACCAAACATACATTTAAAGTGTTTTTCCCATGTGAGTTTGCTGATGTCTTCTAAGCGTTGTACTACTGGTGAAGCTTTTCCCACAATCCATGCATTTAAAAGGTTTCTCCCCTGTATGAGTTTGTAGATGTACATTAAGGCTTCCACTCTGAATGAAGCATTTTCCACACTCAAAACATTTATATGGTTTCTCTCCTGTATGTGTACATTGATGTATTTTCAGCGATTCTCTATGACGGAAGCATGTTCCACACTCCATGCATCTAAATGGTTTTTCGCCTGTGTGAGTTCGTAGATGTATGGAAAGTTTTGCTCTTTCACGGAACGTCTTTCCACACTCTGTGCATTTAAATGGTTTTTCCCCTGTGTGAGTTAGTTTATGTCTTCTAAGTGTTCCACTCTCTCTGAAGCTCTTTCCACACTCTATGCATTTAAATGGTTTCTGCCCTGTGTGAGTTCGTTGATGGTTTTTAAGATGTCCGCTTTGACTGAAGCTCTTTCCACACTCCAGGCATTTAAAAGGTCTTGCGCCTGTGTGAGTTCGCTGGTGTATTCTAAGGGTTTCACTCTGACGAAAGCTCTTTCCACAATCCATACATCTGAATGGTTTGTCCCCGGTGTGATTTCGTTGATGTACAGTAAGCTTTTCCCTATCCTGAAGCTCTTTCCACACTCCATGCATTTAAAATGGTTTCTCCCCTGTGTGAGTTTGATGGTGTCTTCTAAGTGTTCCACTGTCTGTGAAGCTCTTTCCACACTCCATGCATTAAATGGTTCTCCCCTGTGTGAATCCTTTCATGGATTCTTAGTTTTCTGCTATCACTGAAGCTCTTTCCACACTCCAGACATTTAATGGTTTCTCTCCTGTGTGAGTTCGCTGATGTTTTCTAAGGGCTCCGCTCCCACTGAAGTCCTTTCCACAATCCATGCCTTCAAATGGTGTCTCCACTGTTTCACTTCATTGACGTGAACTAAGCGTTTTCACTAACTGAATCGCATTATACATTCCACAATTTAAATGGTTTATTTGTGATTACTAATGAAAGTACAGATTGTTCTGTCTTTCTATCGCTTGCTTCTGAGTAGGGGGAAAGGAAATCCTGTAAAGAAGAGAACAGAGGAATATAACACACATGAAGTGCCTTTGGTAACTTTTCTTATTTTAACATCTCATACATTCTTCCTTCTTCTATGTTACATTTTTTTAGGAAATGGAATAATGTCAGATTATAGTAGTAGTAGTAATAATAATAATAATAATATATTATTTATACCCATCCATCTGGCTGGTTTCCCCAGCCACTCTGGGCGGCTTCCAACAAAATATTAAAATACAATAGTCTATTAAACATTAAAACCTTCCTTAAACAGGGTTGCCTTCAGGTGTCTTCTAAAAGTCTGGTAGTTGTTTTTCTTTTTGACATCTGGTGGGAGGGCGTTCCACAGGGCGGGTGCCACTACCGAGAAGGCCCTCTGCCTGGTTCCCTGTAACTTGGCTTCTCACAGCGAGGGAACCGCCAGAAGGCCCGCGATGCTGGACCTCAGTGTCCGGGCTGAACAATGGGCGTGGAGACGGTCCTTCAGGTATACTGGACTCAGGCCGTTTAGGGCTTTAAATGTCATCAACCAACACTGTTTATTGTGCTCAGCTCAGAAACATACTGGGAGCCCAGTGAAGATCCTTTAGGACCTGTGTTGTATGATCTTGGCGGCCACACCCAGTCACCAGTCCACCTGCCACATTCTGGAATGTAGATTCTGAGTCACCCTCAACCACATTAGAGCACATTGCAGTAGCCAAGTGGGAGATAACCGTCTAGAGGGGCTGGGAGCTGGGGGCACTGTCATACAGTGGTTCCGCTCCTTCCTCCTGGGCCGTGTCCAGGAAGTGGTGGGGGGGGATGAGTGTTCAGACCCCTGGGCTCTCACTTGTGGGGTGCCTCAGGGTTTCTGTCCTCTCCCCCATGCTTTTTAATATCTATATGAAGCCGCTGGGAGAGATCATCAGGGGGTTTGGACTGGGTGTTCATCAGTACGCAGATGACACCCAGCTCTACCTCTCCTTTAAATCAGAACCAGTGAAGGCGGTGAAGGTCCTGTGTGAGTGCCTGGAGGCGGTTGGAGGATGGATGGCGGCTAACAGACTGAGGTTGAATCCTGACAAGACAGAAGTACTGTTTTTGGGGGACAGGGAGCGGGTTGGTGTGGGGGATTCCCTGGTCTTGAATGGGGTAACCGTGCCCCTAAAGGACCAGGTGCGTAGCCTGGGAGTCATTTTGGACTCACAGCTGTCCATGGAGGCGCAGGTTAACTCTGTGTCCAGGGCAGCTGTCTACCAGCTCCACCTGGTACGCAGGCTAAGACCCTACCTGCCCGCGAACTGTCTCGCCAGAGTGGTGCATGCTCTAGTTATCTCACGCTTGGACTACTGCAACGCGCTCTACGTGGGGCTACCTTTGAAGGTGAGCCGGAAACTGCAATTAATCCAGAACGCGGCAGCTAGACTGGTGACTGGGAGTGGCCGCCGGGACCATATAACACCGGTTCTGAGAGACCTGCATTGGCTCCCAGTACGTTTCCGAGCACGATTCAAAGTGTTGGTGCTGACCTTTAAAGCCCTAAACAGCCTCGGTCCTGTATACCTGAAGGAGCGTCTCCACCCCCATCATTCAGCCCGGACACTGAGGTCCAGCGCCGAGTGCCTTCTGGCGGTTCCCTCATTGCGAGAAGTGAGGCTACAGGGAACCAGACAGAGGGCCTTCTCGGTAGTGGTGCCCGCCCTGTGGAACGCCCTCCCATTAGATGTCAAAGAGATAAATAATTACCTGATATTCAGAAGACATCTTAAGGCAGCCCTGTTCAGGAAAGTTTTTAATATGTAACGCTGTACTGTTTTTAACACTGATTGGGAGCCGCCCAGAGTGGCTAGGGAAACTCAGCCAGATGGGCGGGGTATAAATAATAAATTATTATTATTATTATTATTATTATTATTATTATTATTATTATTATATAGCATGCACCACTCTGGGGAGACGGTCTGCAGGCAGGTAGGGTCTCAGCCTGCGCACCAGGTAGAGCAGCTAGACAGCTGCCATGGACACAAATTTGACATGTGCCGCCATGGATAACTGTGAGTCTAAAATGACTGCCAGTTAACAAGCTAAAAGTGGGTCATTGTATCGATCTAGCAGGGCTTTTGATATGTTTTTACGTAGTGAAATGTCTCACTGCATACTGTAAGAGCTTACCTCTCAATTTCCCCTTCACGTTTCTGTAATTTTCTTTTTCTAGCAAAACGTGCTTAGACTTGTGAATCAGAGTCTCTCCTGTGTGAAACAAATAAAAGAGAAGTGCTGTTTATGCCATATGTGACTGTCAAAGTATTCAGAAACATTCATCTTTTGAAGCAAAAACAACAAAGTTCCTGGTAGTCCATTGGAGGCTAATAAACCTATAACGGCCTAAACATTTGTGGACAGCAGGCAAATGTAGCGGATTGCGGGCCAGGAAAGCTCACGCCATCATTAACCTGTGAGTTTCTTTGTGGGTTTTGCATGGTTGTTTTGGAATTCCCACCACAATATCAGTTCATCAAATGTTATGGACAAAAATTCAGCATTGCTATAAACGATAATCCCACCCCCTCCCTTTCTCTCACACACAGTGTTTGTGGAATACTGCACTCTCACACACCTCGCCTGTAATACTGGCAATCCTTGGCCTGCATATGCACATGACTGTGTGTAAAGCCCCCAGTCACAGGCATTGTCTATCCTGATAATGGACCCTTTGTCCTTTTAAGCACCCCAGACTGGGAAGGTTGCATGTATTTACTGTCTTTGGGTGCTGATGGATTGTGTCTCAGCTTGTAAATCCCTCTGGCATCTCCTAAACCAAAAAAAGTTACAGAAAGGATGTCCATATGTAAATTATACACAAATCCTGAAAGAATTTCCATAGCACCTCCAGCCATGTTTTTTTGAGTAGCGGACCACATTATCACCGCCTATTAACCATACAGAGAGAACTGACACTTAAAACTGAAACACTGGGAGAGGCAGACGGGTTTTTTCTGGCTCTTCGTGGAAGAGGATTCCAGATGCAAAGACCCCTCTGGACAGCCCTCTCTCCTTCCTCTCAGGAACTTCCTGCCCTTTCCTCTACTCTCCAGCTGGACCAAGGGCCCGCCTTGGTGTAACGCTGCTCTACCTTCTGGAGCCCCCAGCAGCAGCTGGGCTGGGGGTGGGGGAAGGAGAGTCCAGCTTCCAGGAAGGAGGGGAGGGTGGGGAATTGGACACCCTCTCATTTTCAGGGATCCCTCTCTCCAAGGCAGATTTCTGGGCAGGAGGGAAAAGCCAAGGCAGCGTCTCCGGAGATTCCCCCGCCAGCGCCCAGGTGGGAGACCTCCCTTCCGATGGGCAGCGTCTCTTTCTCCCTCTGCCCCCCTTTGCCAATGCTGGACGGGGCTTTCCTCCCCCAGGGATGCTTCCCTCCCTCCTTCCCCAGGTTCCTCTGCCCCCTCCGTCCCCAGTCTCTCCTGCGCCCAGAGACCCCCTTGGCACGGCTCACCCCTCGCCCTGCGCGCAGAATCCCTCTCGAGCGCACCGACCTCTCCATCCGGAGGAGCCTCCCAAGACGAGCAGGGAGGGGGGAGGAGGAGGTAAGAGACGGAAGTGGGGGAGGGAGGGGTCTCTTCCCAGGCCTCTCTAGGCATCTCGGCTCTCTCCCTTCCGTAACCCCTTCCATGGACTCTCCTTCTGTCCAGCAAGAGGCGCGCCTCGCCACACGCGCGCAGCCAGCAGCTCCCCAAGGGGTTCCTGCCAGGGGGAAACGGGGACGCGTCCCGAGGGGCGCTTGGGTTGAAAGCCATTCTCACAGGGATGGCCTTGGTGGACTTCTCAATTCCATTCCCACAAAGGGGTGCAGGGCAGCTGAGCACAGATTGGCCAGCCAGATTGTGATAATGATAATGATAATGATAATGATAATGATGATTTCATTGTTTGTATGCTGCCCACCTCAATAGGTTTCCCCAGCCCACTCTGGACAGCTGCAAAAAAAGAAGCAAAAACTTCCCTAACTGGTTTGCCAATGGGCAGTGGCGTAGCGTGGGTTGTCAGCACCTGGGGCAAGGCAAGTAATTTGCACCCCCTAACCCGTGGATTTGCGCCTCCTAACCCTAACCCCCAGATGTTGCGCCCGGTGCGGCCGGGCCCCCCTGCACCCCCCACGCTACGCCACTGCCAATGGGTGCCAATGAACTTCTTTTAGGACTGGTGTTATATGGTCTTGGCGGCCGCTCCAGGTCAGCAGTCTAGGTGCCGCATTCTGGATTAGTTGCAGTTTCCGTGTCACCTTCAAAGGTAGCCCCACGTAGAGCCCATTGCAGTAGTCCCAAGGATAACCAGAGCATGCACCACTCTGGCCGGACAGTCTGCGGGCAGTGAGGGTCTCAGCCAACATACCATGATAAAATAAATGATTAAGTTACTTTTATTATTAAACCTTTAGAAGACATCTGAAGGCAGCCCTACATAGGGATGCTTTTAAGGTTTAAGGTTTCATTATGTATTCATAAGAGGCTGGGTTGAAATAAATTGTTCTTGTTGTCCTTGTTACACCCTTTTAAGGAGAAAAAGAAACGTGTCTGATTCTTCAAAGAGATGGTGCAATGCAGACCCTGCAGTTGTGGGTTCCTTGCTTGGCAACTGGACTGCGTGCATCCAGGTCCCTGCTAATGGGTCCCATGAAAGGTGCTTTTTGGGGGGGGTGGAGAAGTCCCTTTGTCCTTTCTTCCCCCTCCTCCCTCTCACCACCACCTTCCCACATGCAGCATCTTATTTTTGTCCTCCCTTGCCACCCACTTTTCCAATTCCCCTTACTGCAATTTATAGACGCGGGCAGAATGTCCACTGTCACCCCTCCTCTCCTTTCCAACGCTCCCCCTCCCCACGGCTCCTTTTGTCCAATTGCCCAGGAAACATCTGATTTAGGGGGAACACTTCAGGTTTGTTTGGGAACATGTGGGCCCATAGAGCTACGAGTGGGAGAGCAGCCCCTGCCTTTGTTGCACAGCGGAGGAATATTTTTGTAGAAATTTCAGCTTTTCTAACACAGGCAAAAAGGTACTGTTGGCAGTGTTTACATAAATGCTTGCCAACTCTTTTATAAATGCCTGTGAATCAAGGACTGGGAAAATATAAGCCATTGTCCGGTGACCTGCTTCCTAGAGGGAAGCAATGTTAAAAAGCGTGGGGAGAGGATGGAGCCCTGAACCACCCCCTAAGTTGAGCACCCAGGGGTCCAAACGCTCATTCCCCCCCCCCACATCACTTTCTGGACATGTCCCAGGACTAAGGAGCAGAACCACTGCATAACCCTGCCCCTAACTCCCAATCCTTCGATACCGTCCACGAGGATATGTTAGCATTTACAATGCTTTGGGAATGTATTTCACAAAGCAGAGGTAGCATTGGGGAAATGAGGTGGCGCTTGTTTGGTTAATTCAGTTTGCTCTTTCTTGACTGCGGAGAGGGAGAGGTGAGAGGTGTGGGGACTTTGTGCCCATGATGACTGGAGGAGTTTGGAAATAATACTCGTGGTTCAACTGTTGCCAACCTGACCAGTAAAGCTTTATTCTCAACAAGTTGGGTAAGGTATATATTTTTATCACAAATAGGTAACCGAATACTGTGGTCAACGGCATTAAAAACCATGGAGAGATCCCGCAGAACCAGGAAACAGCTTTTACCTTTTTGCCCGCCAGACATAATCAACCAGCACCAATCATTCCAAATCTATTTTCCCCTTCAAAGGGACTCCAGGAGGTTCCCAGAGGTGACAATTGCTTAGCTGATTGTTGGCCAAGGAAAGCCTAATCCCATCACCAAACTTGCCAAGGGGCCAGGCATGCAAAGGAAGTTGTATTGTACTTTGGGCGTGGGACTTCAGAGGTGTTTGCCTGTGCTCATCTTATACCTGGGTCTTGCCCTGCCATGTCTGCTTATGCTAATCTTGTACCAAGGACTTGTCTGGACATGTTTGCCAAGGTTGAACTAGTGTAACCTCTGTCTACCCCTCCCCTTTGGTGACATGTCAGTGATGTAGCAATGATGCTGTACGAACTGTATTCTGGGATATGGTGGGAAAGTTCTAAAAGTCTTTGTCACCCCATCCTCAGAGTTCAAAATTCCTCTTTGAACCTATTGTGCAATAAACTCTGGTCTACAGCCATTTGCTCCGGTTGGTGGCTGGACTCCTTCCTTTATTCCGCAGGGACCCGTGGGCTCTGCCCGACCAGCTGGGTGACTGAGCAGCCTCACACCTAGACAGCGGCAAAAGTCTTGTTATCACAAAGATGGAAGAATGAGGAAATCCCAACGAAAGAACAATGGGAAGAAAAACTGATGAGATGTGCGGAATTTTTCCAAGCTGACATATCAACTGCGTGACCAGGACAATTGTAATTTCAAGGAAGAATGGGAACTATTTACAAACTATTTAAAAAGACAACAAAAGGATTTGGACTCCTTGGCAGGTTTTGAATAAACATCCACAAATTCATTAGTAGAACATATGATAGATAATGTACAATGATATGTACAATTTTATAACATGCAGAGAATAATATGTATAAACAAATCAGAGAGGGGAGCTGAGGGAAGTCTCTGGAAGGGGGGAGAGGGAGGGAGTTATATTGATCTATAAACGTGATTAAAATGATTAATTTTGTTTATTTTTTAAAAAGCCACTGAGAGATCCAGCAGAACCAGGAAACAGCTTTTGCCTCTATCCCTAGCTCGCCAGAGATAATCAACCAGCGCCACCAGGGTGGTCTCAGTCCAATGGCAGGGCCTGAAAGCCAATTGGGACAAATGCAGTCTAAATGGTCCACATCCTGCAGATATGCCTGGATTTATTCTGCAACCAAACATACATTTAAATAGTTTTTCCCATGTGAGTTTCCTGATGTCTTCTAAGCGTTGTACTACTGGTGAAGCTTTTCCCACAATCCATGCATTTAAAAGGTTTCTCCCCTGTATGAGTTTGTAGATGTACATTAAGGCTTCCACTCTGAATGAAGCATTTTCCACACTCAAAACATTTATATGGTTTCTCTCCTGTATGAGTACATTGATGCATTTTCAGCGATTCTCTATGACGGAAGCATGTTCCACACTCCATGCATCTAAATGGTTTTTCGCCTGTGTGAGTTCGTTGATGGTATTTAAGGTATCCACTCTGACTGAAGCTCTTTCCACACTCTGTGCATTTAAATGGTTTTTCCCCTGTGTGAGTTAGTTTATGTCTTCTAAGCGTTCCACTCTCTCTGAAGCTCTTTCCACACTCTATGCATTTAAATGGTTTCTGCCCTGTGTGAATTCGCTGATGGTTTTTAAGGTGTCCGCTTTGACTGAAGCTCTTTCCACACTCCATGCATTTAAAAGGTCTTGCGCCTGTGTGAGTTCGCTGGTGTATTCTAAGGGTTTCACTCTGACGAAAGCTCTTTCCACAATCCATACATCTGAATGGTTTGTCCCGGTGTGATTTCGTTGATGTACAGTAAGCTTTTCCCTATCCCTGAAGCTCTTTCCACACTCCATGCATTTAAATGGTTTCTCCCCTGTGTGAGTTTGATGGTGTCTTCTAAGTGTTCCACTGTCTGTGAAGCTCTTTCCACACTCCATGCATTTAAATGGTTTCTCCCCTGTGTGAATCCTTTCATGGATTCTTAGTTTTCTGCTATCACTGAAGCTCTTTCCACACTCCAGACATTTAAATGGTTTCTCTCCTGTGTGAGTTCGCTGATGTTTTCTAAGGGCTCCGCTCCCACTGAAGTTCTTTCCACAATCCATGCCTTCAAATGGTGTCTCCACTGTTTCACTTCATTGACGTGAACTAAGCGTTTTCACTAACTGAATCGCATTATACATTCCACAATTTAAATGGTTTATTTGTGATTACTAATGAAAGTACAGATTGTTCTGTCTTTTCTATCGCTTGCTTCTGAGTAGGGGGAAAGGAAATCCTGTAAAGAAGAGAACAGAGGAATATAACACACATGAAGTGCCTTTGGTAACTTTTCTTATTTTAACATCTCATACATTCTTCCTTCTTCTATGTTACATTTTTTTAGGAAATGGAATAATGTCAGATTATAGTAGTAGTAATAATAATAATAATAATAATAATAATAATAATAATATATTATTTATACCCATCCATCTGGCTGGGTTTCCCCAGCCACTCTGGGCGGCTTCCAACAAAATATTAAAATACAATAGTCTATTAAACATTAAAACCTTCCTTAAACAGGGTTGCCTTCAGGTGTCTTCTAAAAGTCTGGTAGTTGTTTTTCTTTTTGACATCTGGTGGGAGGGCGTTCCACAGGGCGGGTGCCACTACCGAGAAGGCCCTCTGCCTGGTTCCCTGTAACTTGGCTTCTCACAGCGAGGGAACCGCCAGAAGGCCCTCGATGCTGGACCTCAGTGTCCGGGCTGAACAATGGGCGTGGAGACGGTCCTTCAGGTATACTGGACTCAGGCCGTTTAGGGCTTTAAATGTCATCACCAACACTGTTTATTGTGCTCAGCTCAGAAACATACTGGGAGCCAGTGAAGATCCTTTAGGACCTGTGTTGTGTGATCTTGGCGGCCACACCCAGTCACCAGTCCACCTGCCACATTCTGGAATGTAGATTCTGAGTCACCCTCAACCACATAGAGCACATTGCAGTAGTCCAAGTGGGAGATAACCGTCTAGAGGGGCTGGGAGCTGGGGCACTGTCATACAGTGGTTCCGCTCCTTCCTCCTGGGCCGTGTCAGAAAGTGGTGGGGGGATGAGTGTTCAGACCCCTGGGCTCTCACTTGTGGGGTGCCTCAGGGTTCTGTCCTCTCCCCCATGCTTTTTAATATCTATATGAAGCCGCTGGGAGAGATCATCAGGGGGTTTGGACTGGGTGTTCATCAGTATGCAGATGACACCAGCTCTACCTCTCTTTAAATCAGAACCAGTGAAGGCGGTGAAGGTCCTGTGTGAGTGCCTGGAGGCGGTTGGAGGATGGATGGCGGCTAACAGATTGAGGTTGAATCCTGACAAGACAGAAGTACTGTTTTTGGGGGACAGGGAGCGGGTGGTGTGGGGATTCCCTGGTCTGAATGGGGTAACTGTGCCCCTGAAGGACCAGGTGCGCAGCCTGGGAGTCATTTTGGACTCACAGCTGTCCATGGAGGCGCAGGTTAATCTGTGTCCAGGGCAGCTGTCTACCAGCTCCACCTGGTACGCAGGCTAGACCCTACCTGCCCGCGACTGTCTCGCCAGAGTGGTGCATGCTCTAGTTATCTCCGCTTGGACTACTGCAACGCCTCTACGTGGGGCTACCTTTGAAGGTGACCCGGAAACTGCAATTAATCCAGAATGCGGCAGCTAGACTGGTGACTGGGAGTGGCCGCCGGGACCATATAACACCGGTTCTGAAGACCTGCATTGGCTCCCAGTACGTTTCCGAGCACAATTCAAAGTGTTGGTGCTGACCTTTAAAGCCCTAAACGGCCTCGGTCCTGTATACCTGAAGGAGCGTCTCCACCCCCATCATTCAGCCCGGACACTGAGGTCCAGCGCCGAGGGCCTTCTGGCGGTTCCCTCATTGCGAGAAGTGAGGCTACAGGGAACCAGACAGAGGGCCTTCTCGGTAGTGGCGCCCGCCCTGTGGAACGCCCTCCCATTAGATGTCAAAGAGATAAATAATTACCTGACATTCAGAAGACATCTTAAGGCAGCCCTGTTCAGGGAAGTTTTTAATATGTAACGCTGTACTGTTTTTAACACTGATTGGAAGCCGCCCAGAGTGGCTGGGAAACTCAGCCAGATGGGCGGGGTATAAATAATAAATTATTATTATTATTATTATTATTATTATTATTATTATTATTATTATATAGCATGCACCACTCTGGGGAGACGGTCTGCAGGCAGGTAGGGTCTCAGCCTGCGCACCAGGTAGAGCAGCTAGACAGCTGCCATGGACACAAATTTGACATGTGCCGCCATGGATAACTGTGAGTCTAAAATGACTGCCAGTTAACAAGCTAAAAGTGGGTCATTGTATCGATCTAGCAGGGCTTTTGATATGTTTTAACGTAGTGAAATGTCTCACTGCATACTCAAAGGGCTTACCTCTCAATTTCCCCTTCACGTTTCTGTAATTTTCTTTTTCTAGCAAAACGTGCTTAGACTTGTGAATCAGAGTCTCTCCTGTGTGAAACAAATAAAAGAGAAGTGCTGTTTATGCCATATGTGACTGTCAAAGTATTCAGAAACATTCATCTTTTGAAGCAAAAACAACAAAGTTCCTGTAGTCCATTGGAGGCTAATAAACCCATAACGGCCTAAACATTTGTGGACAGCAGGCAAATGCAGCGGATTGCGGGCCAGGAAAGCTCACGCCATCATTAACCTGTGAGTTTCTTTGTGGGTTTTGCATAGTTGTTTTGGAATTCCCACCACAATATCAGTTCACCAAATGTTATGGACAAAATTCAGCATTGCTATAAACGATAATCCACCCCCTCCCTTTCTCTCCACACACAGTGTTTGTGGAATATTGCCACTCTCACACACCTCGCCTGTAATACTGGCAATCCTTGGCCTGCATATGCACATGACTGTGTGTAAAGCCCCCAGTCACAGGCATTGTCTATCCTGATAATGGACCCTTTGTCCTTTTAAGCACCCAGACTGGGAAGGTTGCATGTATTACTGTCTTGGGTGCTGATGGATTGTGTCTCAGCTTGTAAATCCCTCTGGCATCTCCTAAACCAAAAAAGTTACAGAAAGGATGTCCATATGTAAATTATACACAAATCCTGAAAGAATTTCCATAGCACCTCCAGCCATGTTTTTTTGAGTAGCGGACCACATTATCACGCCTATTAACCATACAGAGAGAACTGACCACTTAAAACTGAAACACTGGGAGAGGCAGACGGGTGTTTTCTGGCCCTTGATGGCAGAGGATTCCAGAAGCAAAGACCCCCTCTGGACAGCCCTCTCTCCTTCCTCTCAGGAACTTCCTGCCCTTTCCTCTTCTCTCCAGCTGGACCAAGGGCCCGCCTTGGTGTAACGCTGCTCTACCTTCTGAACCCAAAGCAGCAGCTGGCCTGGGGTGGGGGAAGGAGAGTCCAGCTTTCCGGGAAGGAGGGGAGGGTGGGGAATTGGGACACCTTCTCATTTTCAGGGACCCCTCTCTCCAAGGCAGGTTTCTGGGCAGGAAGGAAAAGCCAAGGCAGCGTTCCGGAGATTCCCCCGCCAGCGCCCAGGTGGGAGACCTCCCTTCCGATGGGCAGCGTCTCTTTCTCCCCTCTGCCCCCCTTTGCCAATGCTGGACGGGGCTTTCCTCCCCCAGGGATGCTTCCCTCCCTCCTTCCCCAGGTTCCTCTGCCCCCTCCGTCCCCAGTCTCTCCTGCGCCCAGAGCACCCCTTGGCACGGCTCACCCCTCGCCCTGCGCGCAGAATCCCTCTCGAGCGCACCGACCTCTCCATCCGGAGGAGCCTCCCAAGACGAGCAGGGAGGGGGAGGAGGAGGTAAGAGACGGAAGTGGGGAGGGGGGGTCTCTTCCCAGGCCTCTCTAGGCATCTCGGCTCTCTCGCTTCCGTAACCCCTTCCATGGACTCTCCTTCTGTCCAGCAAGAGGCGCGCCTCGCCACACGCGCGCAGCCAGCAGCTCCCCAAGGGTTCCTGCCAGGGGGAAACGGGGACGCGTCCCCGAGGGGCGCTTTGGGTTGAAAGCCATTTCATAGGGATGGCCTTGGTGGCCATCTCAATTCCATTCCCACAAAGGTGCCCAAGGGGTGCAGGGCAGCTGAGCACAGATTGGCCAGCCAGATTGTTATAATGATAATGATAATGATAATGATTGATTTCATTGTTTGTATGCTGCCCACACTCAATGGGTTTCCCCAGCCACTCTGGACAGCTGCAAAAGAAGAAGCAAAACTTCCCTAACTGGTTTGCCAATGGGTGCCAATGAACTTCTTTTAGGACTGGTGTTATATGGTCCCTGAGGCCGGCCTCCCAGTCACCAGTCTAGTTGCGCATTCCGATTAGTTGCAGTTTCCGTGTCCCTTCAAAGGTAGCCCCACGTAGAGCCCATTGCAGTAGTCAAGGAAACCAGAGCATGCACCACTTTCTTCCCCCTCCTCCCTCTCACCACCACCTTCCCACATGCACATCTTACTTTTTGTACCTCCTTGCCACCCATCTCCCTTGCTCACTTTTCCAATTCCCCTTATTGCAATTTATAGACACGGGCAGAATGTCCACTGTCACCCCTCCATCTCCTTTCCAACGCTCCCCCTCCCCACTCCCAGGGGCTCCTTTTGTCCAATTGCCAGGAAACATCTGATTTAGGGGAAACTTAGGTTTGTTTTGGACCATGGGGGCCCATAGAGCTAGGAGTGGAAGAGCAGCCCCTGCCTTTGTTGCACCGTGGAGGAATGTTTTTGTAGAATTTCAGCTTTTCTTAAACAAGGCAAAAAGGTACTGTTGGCAGTGTTTCCATAAATGCTTACAAACTCTTTTTATTAATGCTGCAATTCAAGGACTGGGGAAATATAACCATTTTCCCGTGACCTGCTTCCCAGAGGGAAGACAATGTTAAAAAGCGTGGGGAGAGGATGGAGCCCTGAGACACCCCCTAAGTGAGTGCCCAGGGGTCCAAATGCTCATTCCCCCCCAACATCCACTTTCTGGACATGTTCCAGGACTAAAGGAGCGGAACCACTGCATAAGCCTGCCCTAACTCCCAACCCTCCTAGACCGTCCATGAGGATGTGTCAGTATTTACAATGTCATATCATTGGGATGGGACGCGAGTGGCGCTGTGGGTAAAAGCCTCAGTGCCTAGGGCTTGCCAATCGAAAGGTCGGCGGTTCGAATCCCCGCGGCGGGGTGCGCTCCCTTGCGGCTCGGTCCCAGCACCTGCCACCTAGCAGTTCGAAAGCACCCCCCGGGTGCAAGTAGATAAATAGGGACCGGCTTACTGGCGGGAAGGTAAACGGCATTCCGTGTGCTGCGCTGGCTTGCCAGATGCAGCTTGTCACGCTGGCCACGTGACCCGGAAGTGTCTTCGGACAGCGCTGGCCCCCGGCCTATAGAGTGAGATGAGCGCACAACCCTAGAGTCTGTCAAGACTGGCCCGTACGGGCAGGGGTACCTTTACCTTTAACTATCATTGGGAAAGTATTTTCACAAAGCAGAGGTGGCATTGGGGAAATGAGGGTGGCGCTTGTTTTGGGTTAATTCAGTTTGCTCTTTCTTGACTGCTGAGAGGTGAGAGGTGTGGGGACTTTGTGCCCATGATGCTGGAGGAGTTTGGAAATAATACTCGTGGTTCAACTGTTGCCAACCTGACCAGTAAAGCTTTATTCTCAACAAGTTGGGTAAGGTATATATTTTTATCACAAATAGGTAACCGAATACCGTGGTCAACGGCATTAAAAACCACGGAGAGATCCTGCAGAACCAGGAAACAGCTTTACCTTTTTGCCCGCCAGACATAATCAACCAGCACCAATCATTCCAAATCTATTTTCCCCTTCAAAAGGGACTCCAGGAAGTTCCCAGAGGTAACAATTGCTTAGCTGATTGTTGGCCAAGGAAAGCCTAATCCCATCACCAAACTTGCCAAGGGGCCAGACCTGCAAGGAAGTTCTATTGTACTTTGGGCGGTGGGACTTCAGAGGTGTTTGCCTATGCTAATCTTATATCTGAGTCTTGCCTGCATGTCTGCTTATGCTAATCTTGTACAAGGACTTGTCTGGACATGTCTGCCAAGGTTGAACTAGTGTAAGCTCTGTCTACCCCTCCCCTTTGGTGACATGTCAGTGATGTAGCAATGATGCTGTTACGAACTGTATTCTGGGATATGGTGGGAAAGTTCTAAAAGTCTTTGTCACCCCATCCTCACAGTTCAAAATTCCTCTTTGAACCTATTGCGCCAATAATTTTGATCTACAGCCATTTGCTCCGGTTGGTGGCTGGACTCCTTTCCTTTATTCCGCAGGGACCCGTGGACCCTGCCGACCAGCTGGGTGACTGAGCAGCCTCACACCTAGATTTTTCCGTAACAGCCAACAAGGCGGTCTCAGTCCAATGGCAGGGCCTGAAACCCAAGTGGAAGAAATGCAGTCCCACATGGTCCATATCCTCAAGATGTACCTGGATTATTCTGCAACCAAACATACATTCAAATTGTTTTCCCATGTGAGTTTGCTGATGTCTTCTAAGTGTTCCACTATTAATGAAGTTATTCCACAATCCATGCATTTAAAAGGTTTCTCCCTTGTGTGAGTTTGTAGATGTATATTAAGGCTTCCACTCTGAATGAAGCATTTTCCACACTCAAAACATTTATATGGTTTATCTCCTGTATGAGTATATTGATGCATTTTCAGCGATTCTCTCTGACTGAAGCATTTTCCACACTCAAAACATTTATATGGTTTATCTCCTGTATGAGTATATTGATGCATTTTCAGCGATTCTCTATGACGGAAGCATGTTTCACACTCCATGCATTTAAATGGTTTTTCCCCTGTGTGAGTTCGTAGATGTATGGTAAGTTTTGCCCTTTCACGGAAGGTCTTTCCACATGCCATACATTTAAATGATTTTTCCCCTGTGTGAATTTCGCTGATGTCTTCTAAGGTTTCCTCTACAATTGAAGCTCTTTTCACACACTATGCATTTAAATGGCTTCTCTTCTGTGTGAGTTAGTTGATGGTTTGTAAGGTTTCCACTATCACTGAAGCACTTTCCACATTCTATGCATTTAAATGGTTTCTCCCCAGTGTGAATTCTCTGGTGTCTTTTAAAGTTTCCACTCTGACTGAAGGTCTTTCCGCACTCCATACAACTAAATGGTTTCTCACCAGTGTGAGTTCGATGATGTGCATTAAGGTGTTTACTCAAAAGGGGAAGCTCTTTCCACACTCTATACATTTATATGGTTTCTCCCCTGTGTGAGTTCCTTGATGTTTTGAAGGAATTCCACTCCCATGGAAGTCCTTTCCGCAATCCATGCCTTTAAATGGTGTCTCCACTGTTGCAGTGCATTGATGTGAACTCATTGTGCTCCCTGACTGAATCACATTGCACATTTCACATATTTAAATTCTATCTTTTTTATTCCTAATGAAATCTCTGATGGCCCCTCCGAATTCTGACTGCCTTCTCCATCACCTGGTTGGGAGTTGGGGGAAAGGAAATCCTGTTAAAAGGGAACAAAGCAATGGCACCTTCTCTTGTGTTAACATTTGTTTAACATTTCACACATGCTCCCTTCTCCTGTGTTTCCATTTTTTTAAAAAGGAAACCCAGCCCCCTGCAAGGCGGGAATCTTTTGCCTCACATGGGTTTCCAACTCACATCCCTGAGATTAAGAGTCTCATGCTTTACTGACTGAGCTGAGTTTAAAAGCTTTACTTCCAGGAACTTGATTTAAGTGTTACAGAAAGAGTAAACAATACATTGCCTCAGGTATGCAGGCCTCTTCTTACCCACTCTGGTCTCATTATAAGGCCCTGAGGTAGCATATATTTGCCAAAAACTAGATTTTCCACTAAAAAATAATAATCAAAATTAATTCTGCCTAGGGTTTCCCGAGATGTTGCCGATTTGGGCCAAATTCCCTCACGACGCCATTTTTACACCCCAAAACCAAGGACATGTGAGGAATTTTTCTGATATATGGGAATATATATATCAGGCTTACTAGCTGCTTTGCTTTTCAATATTCTCCGGTTGGCCTCTGTTATTTTCTCCTACCAATAGGGAACCCACTTAAGGACTCTATATGGGCTCTTGGGTACCCCATAAGGGAAGAAGGGCAGATTTTGTTTACAACAGGGGGCTACATAATTGATCACGACACAGCGTGCATACACCATTTGAATGGCAATGCCAATCAACTCGGGCGGGGGAGGGAGCAGCCCCCTCAAATATTTTATGGGGAGGGGGGAAGGGACCTCGGCTCCCCGACAGCGCACAAGGTGGAGACGTCCCCTCCGAAAGGCCACGTTTCCCGTTCTCTGTCTCCAGCCCGCCCCCCGCCAGTGCTCACTGGACTTATCTTGTTCTTGCCCCGGGGATACTTCCATGCCCCCCAGCCCCTCCCCAGCATCCTCTGCCCTCCCTGAAAGCTCTCCTGCGCCCAGAAACCTCCCTTGGCACATCTCACTCCTCGCCCTGCGCACCAAGTCTCTCCCGAGCGCGCCCACATCTCCATTCGCAGGAGCTTCGCAGGGGGGGGGAGTAGCAAGGGGGGGTCTCTAGCCAGGCGTCCTCGCGTCCTTTAACCCTTACGTGGACTCCCTCTCTCCGTCTCTGCAGCTCAAAGGGACCCCCCCAAGGCGCACCACGGATGCGCCTCGCAGCGCGCACGGAGCCCGGAGCCCCCCGAGAGATTCCTGCCGGGGGGGGGGCTCCGGCCGACGCGTCGCGAGGGGTCCGGAACCCGCGGAGGGTTGGGGGTCCCGGTTCGACTTCCCTTTAGGGTGGTCGCAAAGTAACTGCTCTCTCCCAACCCTCCAGCAAAACAGGAACAAGTGAAACGTAGAAGGCTCACCTTCTTCCACCGCCGTTTTTTCGGGGGGGGGCGTCTCTTTGGCTGCCGCTGCCGGGGATCGAACCTGCGAACCTTCTCACTAAATAAATGAGATTACATAGAGCTTTGCTTGCGGGGGGTCAGGATTTCCGCTTGGGTCTATCGAGCTGCGCTTCCTAGAGAGGCAGGAAGGGTTTGGGGTTTTTTTTGCAGGGGGAGGAGAGATGGAAGTGGCAAAGTTTGGGGGGGGGTCTCCATGCACAGCCCCAGGAGAGAAGCTGGCCGGTTGAAGGGGAGAAAGAGGTGCAGCATATTTGGGGGTGGGAGGAGGGTGAAGGATTTGCTTTTCCTCCCCCTGAATCTACAAACAGGGCAGCTGGGAGGGGAGGGGAGGAAGGATTTGGGGAGGGGGATGAGAGGCAAGTAGGATCCGTGGGGGGGCGGGATCGAGGCAACACGGCTGCAAAACAGGGCCCTCTTCCCCCAACAGGGTTTGCATTGCAAGATCCTCTTTGAAGCTGAGAGATCAAGCCAACATCCCTAGGGGATAGGAGGGGGCGAGGTGGGGGGCTGCCAGAGACAAACCCGCCCCCATGCAACCTAACTGCAAATAGGTTGGCAGCCCCCATCTTGTGCAAGCTTGGTCGGTCCTACTCCATTCAAAGGGGTTGCAGCCCCATTCCCCCTAGTGATGCTCTGCTGAACAGCCCTGCATCTCCCCTCTCACCACTGACCCCTCCTGCCCGCCCACCCCCTCCACCGCTCCTTCCAGGCTCTGCCTCAGTGGCTTGTGGGGGGGGGTCTGCTTTGGTGCAGGGGAAAACAGCTGGAGAACAGAGACACCTTTTGATTTGGAGAGCGGGAGATCTTGAAGTAGATGGGTGTGTGTGAGAGAGATAGCAACAATGTCAAGGGAAATCGGCCTCTGGAGCTTCCTTAGTAAGAAAGAGGCTGATGTGAGAAGGAGGCAAAAGGAAACAAGAATTTGCCTATTGAGAAGGGTAAGCGAATTCCAGATGATGTCTACCTTTGCCATCTGTGTAAGGTTCCTGGGCCACAGGGAGGTTAGGGTGGCCTCAACCAGAGCCAGGGCTTTTTCGGCTGTGGCCCCAATCAGGTGGAACGCTCTGTCACAAGAGGCTAGGGCCTTGCAGGATTGACACCTTTCCGCAGGGCCTGCAAGAAAGAGCTGCTCCACCAGGCCTTTGGCCAAGGCACAGTCTGACCCCCTCCTTCGGTAATCCTCACAGAACTCTTGCCCAATGGTTGCCATTAATTTGACTTTGAATTGATATTAAAATGAATTGATTTTGGAATGTTGTGTTACTTTTATTGTTGTTAGCCGCTCTGAGCCCGGCTTCGGCTGGGGAGGGCGGGATATTTATATTATTATTATTATTATTATTATTATTATTATTAGTCTCCCACCCTAAATAAATCTGTCTTTCTCCATTGCTCACATCAAAGACCTGCTCCCTGCTTTGAAGTGCATCTTGGGCAACAGGTGAGGGAGTCCCAGAAGTGGAAGTGCAATGGCCTCAGAGGCACTGTTTGGACTGTCTCTTCTTATCAGTGGAGTGGAAAGAGGAGCCAGGCAGCTTCCTCAGGTAGGGAAAGAGCAACGGGAGCAGGGAGGAGGGAAGAGGCACAGATGGGACCACCCAGCCTCCCTCTGTGTTGAGTGGGGGATGATGGGGATCTAAGAGCATCTCTGTCTTCTTCCTCTTCTTCTTCCAGGCCCTCTTGACCTTTGAGGAGGTGGCTGTGTTTTTCACGGAGGAGGAGTGGGCTCTGCTGGATCCAGGCCAACGAGCTCTGCACAAGGGAGTCATGGAGGAGAATTATGAGATGGTGGCCTCTCTAGGTAACGGCAGATTTTTTATTCCTCTTGGCTGTTAGACGTTGGAGGTGTGAATCTGCTGTTTGAAACCATTCATTCATGCCGTGTAGGAACAAGCAGTAACCATCGAAAGACCTCTTCTCAAAGCAGTTGTCTTCTATTCTTTGTAAACCACCCAAGTTAATGGCCATCACTGCCCCCTGTGGGAAAGTTCCCTAGTTTAACTATTCACTCTGTTTGGAAGGACCTACAGTGGTGCCTCGCAAGACGAAAAGAATCCATTCCGCGAGTCTCTTTGTCTTGCGTTTTTTTCGTCTTGCGAAGCAAGCCCATTAGCGGATTAGCGCTATTAGCGGCTTAGCCCGGGCTTAGCGGATCAGCTGATAAGCGGCTTAGCGGCTTGGGGGAAAAGGTGGGGGGGGAAGGGAAAAAACCAGCAGGAACTCGCAAGACATTTTCGTCTTGCGAAGCAAGCCCATAGGAAATTCGTTTGCGAAGCACCTCCAAAACGGAAAACCCTTTCGTCTAGCGGTTTTTCCGTCTTGCGAGCGCATTCGTTTGCGGGGTAACCACTGTACTTTTATCTGTCCTCAACCTTCCAACATTCTGTCATGTGACAAAGGTACATGAGAGCAGAAAGCAGCAAAGCAGGCTGGGAAGTGCTGGGACTGCGGCCATCATTTCGGGCCTACTAAGTTATTCAGGCCTAACTGCTAAATGCCTGAGTCCACTCTGACATGTGACTCATTCTCCTTATAAGTAGCAGCCATTTTCTCCCCGTGTGCTCTGTAAGATTCAGTCAGAGTCAGTCTCCCCCAGTTATGAGCAGAGTCAGTATGTAATCTCAGTTGTTGTGGAATTTATGTATAGGGTTGGGGGGGGGGTTGCACATGCAGATATCCTGCACATCGCAGCCCACTACCAAAAATCAGCACAATCACTTTTTGTGACTTTTGTGATTTGTCCCCACAAAACACTTCGTCACAGTTTCTTCCTATCTATTCAAAGGGCCTTTGGCTGCCACAATACGAAATGTAAGAATTCACTGCTCCAATGTACTCTGTACTGGCTCACTGGGAAAACTTCAGAAATTCATATAGACAGGTGAGCTCAGCTACTCAGTCAGCTCCTCTGCCTGAGGGATCAATTCCTGGCATCCTGATACCTGAGTGCCAGGACAGGTAGCCATTCCAGAAAGAACAAACCCAGATGAAGACAAAAGGGTGGGATTAACTTGGCTGGGAAAACAGGGAAATGCCAAATATCTTTTTTGTTACACTTGATGGGTGTTTGGTGGAGGGCAAGGGGAAACCATGGGGCAGGGTCCAGGATGCTCAGATTCCTGCCACCAGACCCTCCTTTTCATGATGTAACCGTGATGTAGTTTGGAGGGTGTAACATGGGGATTAAAGGTAAAGGGACCCCTGGACCATTAGGTCCACTCGTGACCGACTCTGGCGTTGCAGCGCTCATCTCGCCTTATTGGCCGAGGGAACCGGCGTACAGCTTCCGGGTCATGTGGCCAGCATGACTAAGCCGCTTCTGGCAAACCAGAAGCAGCACACGGAAACGCTGTTTACCTTCCCCGCCGGAGTGGCTACCTATTTATCTACTTGCACTTTGATGTGCTTTTTGAACTGGTAGGTTGGCAGGAGCAGGACGACGAGCAACGGGAGCTTACCCTGTTGCGGGGATTCGGACCGCCAACCTTCTGATCAGCAAGTCCTAGGCTCTGTGGTTTACCCACAGCGCCACCTGCGTCCCTTACATGGGGATTAGCATCTAATAAAAGTTGGGGTCTTCTTTTGTTCGGGGCTTCCATTTTGTTCCACCTTGTGGCAGGTGGGAGTCCTGTCCCGACAGTCTTCAATAAAGACCAAGCCTACTGGCTGCTGTTTTGCTCTGGTATTCCTGGCTGGGTGTCCTTGTTTTTTGTCCAAGGGAGCCCTCAGAATTTCTCCGTTAACACAGTCAAACTGTTTGGAACCATGTTGCTTATGAAGAGGTTTATTTTAAACTCAGTAAAGCTCTTATTCTTTCACTTAAAAACTCTGCATTATTAATTTACGCTGCGCGTCACATTCAGCATAAAGGAGTTGCTGCATCCCCTTCATCGTTTTCGTTGTCCATTTCCAAACCTCCTCCAACTTTATACTTATTCGTTTGGAGGTAAGGCGGCCAGAACTGCACACAGTATTCCAAATCAAAATATTAAAATGCTAAAAAGCCAGTTTGCAATGTTAATAAATCAAAAAGTGGAATGGAAAGAATGGAACATAAAAATTTCGAACGTGCTAATAAATCAGGAAAACGGTTGGCTTGGCAGATTAAAAAAAGAAAAGCGCAAAATACAATAAATAAAATTACAGTGGAAGGAAAATAAATAGAAAATCCGAAAGAAATCAGGAAAGGATTTGTGAATTTTTATAGAAGCAGATTTTTTCAGCAGGGGGCCGGTCCACTGCCCCTCAGACCTTGCGGGGGGCCGGACTATACTTTGTGGGAAATGAACAAATTCCAATGTGCCACAAATAACCCAGAGATGCATTTTAAATAAAAGGACACATTTTACTCATGTAAAAACATACTGATTCCCGGACCGTCCGTGGGCCGGATTTAGAAGGCGATTGGGCTGGATCCAGCCCCCAGGCCTTAGTTTGCCTACCCATGGCTTAGAATCATAAGAGTTGGAAGGGACCCCACAGGTCATCTAGTCCAGGGACAGATGTTAAATTAACCAGCCTGTCACTTCCATTCCCTTTTTCTAAAAAGTAAAATGAAAATTATTCCATTGGCTACTTTCCAATCCTCAGATATGTCCAAGGGACAAATTACAGTGGTGCCTCGCAAGACGAAAAGAATCCGTTCCGCGAGTCTCTTCGTCTAGCGGTTTTTTCGTCTTGCGAAGCAACCCTATTAGCGCTTAGCGGATTAGCGCTATTAGTGGTTTAGCGGCTATTAAAGGCTTAGTGGCTTAGCTGCTAAAAGGCTATTAGCGGCTTAGAAAAAGGGGGGGAGTGGAAAAAATTGCAAGACTAGCAAGACGTTTCGTCTTGCGAAGCAAGCCATAGGGAAATTCGTCTTGCGAAGCAACTCAAAAACAGAAAACCCTTTCGTCTAGCGGGTTTTCCATCTTGCGAGGCATTCGTCTTGCTGGGCACCACTGTACATTCCGAATATAAGCTGCACCCGCAAATAAGCCGCACGTTTAAAATTCATGGGGTGGGGGAGATAAAAAGACAATACCTGAATATAAGTCGCTCCCTTAAAATTCAGCAGGCACTCACACACGTTCCATTTTACTGTATGTCTGTTTCAGCTGCAATATCATAAAAGCCATTTTTGTAATATTGCAAATTTAAGCCGCACTTTAACTTTTCACTTTTTTGGGGGGGGGGGGAGTGCGGCTTACATTTGGGCCAATATAAGCTCCTGAAAAAGGCTAACTACAGTGGTACCTCTAGTTACGAACTTAATTCATTCCGGAGGTCCGTTCTTAACCTGAAACTGTTCTTTAACTTGAGGCGTGCTTTCGCTAATGGGCCTCTTGCTGCCGCTGCACCACCAGCACACGATTTCCGTTCTTATCCTGGGGCAAAGTTCTCAATTGAGGTAACTCTTCAGGTTAGTGGAGTTTGTAACCTGAAGCGTTTGTAACCTGAGGTGTTTGTAACTTGAGGTACCCTGTAGTTATATAATAATAATAATAATAATAATAATACTTTTGTACTGTTTTGTACTGTTTTATTGCTGTTAGCCGCCCTGAGCCCGGCTTCGGCTGGGGAGGGCGGGATATAAATAAAATGTATTATTATTATTATTATTATTATTATTATTATTATTATTATTATAAACTACAGGGGTACCTCAAGTTACAAACACCTCAGGTTACAAACGCTTCAGGTTACAAACTCCACTAACCTGGAAGAGTTACCTCAAGTTGAGAACTTTGCCCCAGGATAAGAACGGAAATCGTGTTGGTGGTGCAGCGGCAGCAAGAGGCCCATTAGCGAAAGCACGCCTCAAGTTAAGAAACAGTTTCAGGTTAAGAACGGACCTCCGGAATGAATTAAGTTCGTAACTAGAGTACCACTGTAGTTAGCCTTTTTCAGGAGCTTATATTGGCCCAAATGTAAGCCGCACTCCCCCCCCCAAAAAAAGTGAAAAGTTAAAGTGCGGCTTAAATTTGCAATATTACAAAAAATGGCTTTTATGATATTGCAGCTGAAACAGACATACAGTAAAATGGAACGTGTGTGAGTGCCTGCTGAATTTTAAGGGAGCGACTTATATTCAGGTATTGTCTTTTTATCTCCCCCACCCCATGAATTTTAAACGTGCGGCTTATTTGCGGGTGCAGCTTATATTCGGAATGTACAGTGGTGGCCCAGCAAGACGAATGCCTCGCAAGATGGAAAACCCGCTAGACGAAAGGGTTTTCTGTTTTTGAGTTGCTTCGCAAGACGAATTTCCCTATGGGCTTGCTTCGCAAGACGAAACGTTTGCTAGTCTTGCAATTTTTTCCCACTCCCCCCCCTTTTTCTAAGCCGCTAATAGCCTTTTAGCAGCTAAGCCACTAAGCCTTTAATAGCCGCTAAACCACTAATAGCGCTAATCCGCTAAGCCGCTAATAGGGTTGCTTCGCAAGACGAAAAAAACCGCTAGACGAAGAGACTCGCGGAACGGATTCTTTTCGTCTTGCGAGGCACCACTGTAATTTGTCCCTTGGACATATCTGAGGATTGGAAAGTAGCCAATGGAATAATTTTTCATTTTACTTTTTAGAAAAAGGGAATGGAAGGACAGGCTGGTTAATTTAACATCTGTCCCTGGACTAGATGACCTGTGGGGTCCCTTCCAACTTATGATTCTAAGCCATGGGTAGGCAAACTAAGGCCTGGGGGCTGGATCCAGCCCAATCGCCTTCTAAATCCGGCCCACGGACGGTCCGGGAATCAGTATGTTTTTACATGAGTAAAATGTGTCCTTTTATTTAAAATGCATCTCTGGGTTATTTGTGGCAC